TGTAGTGAGGATTGAACCAAGGGCCTCCTTAATACTAGGTAAGCTCTCTACTGATGAGCTACACACCCAACTAGTTTCTACTTCTGATGCACTAGCAATCTTAATGATAGTACTGCACCCATTTAATATTCCAAATTCATTCCCATGGCGATATTATTTCTCCTTCTAAGGATGCATCTTTGTTACTTTTAATCACATTTCCTACTAAGCTATCACTATAGTACAGGGCATTTTTATTTTTAATTGATTTCTTGTTTCAGATTATATTTGCTAACTTCCAGGAATATGGAATACTAATTTAATTTAGATACTTTTAAATCATAGAAGAGGCAATCTAATTAAAATCAAGGAGAAACTGAGAGTTTTATTTCTACTAGTATAATAATAATAATTATTATTATTATTATCATCATCATCATCATCATCATCATCATCAGGTACTGTAGATTTAACCCAGGGCACTTTATCACTGAGCCACATCCCCAGCCCTTTTTGTTTTTTATTTTTGGACAGGGTCTCACTAAGCTGCTTAGGGCCTCGCTAAGTTGCTGAAGCTAGCCTCAAACTTGTAATTCTCCTGCCTCAGGCTCCAGAGTTGCTGGGATTACAGGAATGCACCACCATACCAGGAGAGACCTTGAAACTTTTATAATCCCACTAATAAAATAGAATGAGTCATAGGCTTACTTGTGTTTCACAGAAAAATATTCATTCATCTTTGACATCCGTGCTTTCTTCTTCTGCTGCCTTGTTTCTGGGTTGAAGTCTGCTACCTGTGGTCCAGGGTTTTGAAATGCCAAGCATTTTAGCTGCCTTTCTATTTGTTGCTGAGAAACAAACAAAATGCGTTAGTAGTAGGAATTATATCATTCGTTTTGCATTTTCAAAAGAACTTTCTGTAACTTTAACCATAATGGTATGAAAGTATATTTTATGTAGAAAACCCAAAGAGTTTGACCTGATTACATTTCAAAGATGATATAAATAGTCTCCAATTAGGCTATTGCTTCCAAATAAATACATAATACAAAACTTACATAATAAAAATGTAAAAAAAAGAATCATGGGGAAACACAAAACCTCTTTTTACATGAAAATCCACAGTCAGCTTCATCTAAGGTAGGAGACCCTTCCCAAGCCCCACAGGAAATTCATACAAAGAGATGTAAATTTTATTATAGAACTGATAGTGAGTGGGTGGTCCTTTCCAAATAGGATGAAGATGAATATCAGAAATAGCATTTTATGATGGATAAGGATGAAGGAATAATGGTCCAATGGTCCTTCCTCAGCTATGAGCAGACGATGCCCATGTAAAGTCTCAATTCAATGAGGACCCACAGTATGCTCAGCCCTACCCTCCAGGTCTGGGATGAGTTTTAGGTCTGCCTGTTCTGGGACTGTGGACATCACTAGGCCTTCACATGAGAGCACAGCCACCTGGAGGACCCACTCTTAGTCAAAGCCAGATTTGAATGGAAATATCTTGCTAGAATTATTTTCTAGGGTGTTAGGGGAAATTTTCGGAAGTCTTTGGGGGGGGCTGTAATTAGAAATTAAATGAGGCCTAATTGGGAAGAAAGCAATCAAAGACTTCAATCAAATACTGATGACTTAAAAAAAAATGCAGCACACATATCACGAGGGAAGGGAATGCTCTCTTGAAGGATTTTAGGAGAAAGTAATCTGGGTATCCCAAACATGTAGGCTGGCATATACTTGGAAACACTAAACGTGGAGACAAAAGGACAGTTTCAATGTAACATGAGTAACAGGATATCATAGGCTCTCCTACAATTTATTTAATATAATAGTTTAGGCAATCTAAAATAATATGTTTCTTTGAAATTTTCATCTTAGTTGTGTATATATGGGTTTGTTTTACAGATCTGAGCTTATGTAACAGCTCTGCACTTAGGTACAGCTACGAAATAGGTAACACCTAGTACTTTCTAGGTACTAGGTGCTTAGCTCTTGCAAGCTCTGCTGCTTGCCCGTGGTGTGCCTTGAGCAAGTTCCTACTTCACTAAGCCTCAGTTTCCCATTTTGTAAAATGGGGCCAATAGTAGTATCTTGTGATAAGAATTAGATGAGTCAATATATACAAAGTTTAGAACCATGACACAATGAGACCAAAATAGGGGTTTGTTCAATTAAAACACTTGAGTATATTTTTTTTTCAAGCATTCTACTCTGAGGGTGAGATTTTATTGCATACAAAGAACACTGGAATAAAAATGAAGGAACATGAGAGGCAAAGAGGACATGTCAGGTGAAACCAGTCCAACAGCTGGCACAGAGACCCATCTGGTGGAGTCCTGACTGAACCCACCTTTGCACTAAGTCCACCAGCATCTCAGAGATCCCCAAGTTTGGAACTCACCAAACAATATGGAATCATAAAATCCATGTATCATACCAATTGCTTCTGTCCAATTTGACAGATTTTCTCTGGAGAACTTCGATCTGTGGGTCTCTCTCGAGTGGAATTATTTTTATCTGATTTCTCAGTCATTTCCGATCACTAAAAAGAGTAACTGAAAAGAAGCAAAAACATTAATGTCATATATCCCCAGTAACTTTTTGAAAATCTCATCTCCTCCCAGAGTGTCAGCTGTCACCTCTTCAGTCATCATTCCCAGACTACCTTTAAAAGCCTTGACCCCCTTTTCTGACAAATTTCCTGTGTAATTTGAGCTAAATGGGAGGTGAGGGGTTTTCATAATACCCAGTTGCTAAAATGCCTGTAGTTTGCTTCAAAACGCTTCAGTATACATACCATATTCAATATATATACAGGGTGTGTGTGTGTGTGTGACTTCTGTGTGACTGAGGTATAGCCCACACATTGCTGATGCTGAATGCATAGTGCAGTGTTCTTCTTCTGCTGTGCTCTATCAGGAAACACCATGCTTCAGAGGTCTCCACAAGCCCTGCCATTCTCCCTACTTACCATCAGCTACCATGCCGACTACCAGGTGCTATTTCTCCCAAAGGAACCTAAGAGTTATGCTCTACTATGTTGACATGGGTCATTTGGCATCACATCTCTCCCAGACAGCTGGAAATTTCATTTCTATCACTGGACCTCACTCTCTTTGAGTCAAGGGTCAACACCTTTGTCTGTATCCTCTGTATCCCACTTTCTCATTCCCAACATTAGGTTAGGAAGGAATGTTGATATTTCTTTTCTGATAGTCCTAACACTGGTTCTTCCTTTCCAGTCTCTATTGAGTAGTCTACCCTGATGATAATAGTAGCAGCAGCAGCAGTGGTAGTAGTGGCATTACATTACCCTTGACTAAGGTGACCTCAAGCTTCACTAAATTTTAGACAGATTTCTTCCTGATAATAGAACCTTGACCTCCCTTTCCTTTAGAAGCATTTACTTAAGAAAATGTGCGATTATGAACTCTTTCTTTTTCCCTTTGGATTGTAAATCTTCTCCCATTTTCTGTCATTTTATAACCCGTGTCTGTCTTTCTCAAGTACCTGGAAACTATCCCTTTGAAATTGAATCAAGGAAGATAGTGCCCCTTTCTCCCCTGTCTCCATCAGAGGATGGGAGTCTAATTTTGACTAGGTACTAATTAGCAAACACAAGTAACCTTGTCACAAAGACATTTGCAAAATAATACAATGTACTTGATGCATCCCATTGTCCAATAAACCCCTTTCTGTCTTCCATTTCTTTTCCAGTAGTTGATCTCAGCCCTTGAGAACTCACCACCCTTTGTTTCAGTGGAGTTTAGTTCATACTGAGTTCTGGTCTCAGTCCGTTATCATGACAGCTTCGAATAGTCTTCCTTGCCTATTTAAAAATTATACTTTGTCCAGAGTAATTTTTACTTTGACACTACCACATGCAAGTTTTCAGATCTGATCAAACATTCCTGTTAAGTATTTTTCAAACTGTTAGAAGATAAAATCATATGAAGCTGTTTTAAAAATCATAATTTCCTTGATGAATCCCAGACTTTACTTGGGCTATCATTTTCAGGGGTAATCTGTATCATTATAGGCTCTCCAGGCAAATTGCATCTTTAGGTAGTTATGGGAAACATTAGGATAGGGAAAGTAAGTATAATTTTATCTACCCAGTCTTGCCATTTGATCCTAAAACTATTGTCCACACTTTCTTCCTGCCCCTAATTCATCAAATACATCCTGGTCATGTTAACATTCCTTAAACAGAAATTTATTTGTCTTCCTATTAAAAGACTGCAATGATTCCTCTTTGCCAATAATATCCCACCATCACTGGTGTATATTAGCCAATGTCTATCAAAGTGTTCTATACCCTACCTGCCTGAGTTCATCACTGCACATACTTACACTTGGACTAACAGCTACCTGACTTCACTGCACCCATTAGCATCTCTCTACCTCTTACTTATCTGAATCTTTCAACTTCAAACTTTGGCCCTCTGCCTCCTAAGAGGCCATTGTTTATCCATGAATCTCTCTTTTAGACTCCGTGTGGAACTTTTCAAGAACATATCCAAAAAGGGGTCCCAAACCTTCTAGTTTCTTCACATAACATTTTTTCTCCTCATTGGAAAGATTATGAGCATCTTTGTAAGCAAGAACTTTTCCTGAAATGGTCTGGGATTTAACTGCACTTCATTAAATGAGTATCTTATGCAAACCCTCTGCCCAAGGCACTTTAAGTCCTTTGTAAAATGTAGGTTTCCAAAAAGATATGAGAAAATTTGCTACTTTGCATTTCAAATAATGCAAAAAAAATTATAATATAATTTCACCGGGTACTGAAATGTAATTGGATTTTATTGTGAGCCCAAAATATTGGTCTTAGGAAAAGTAATTAAAAGGTTCAGAATTCTCTCTTTTCCCTTGTTTGGTATTCCTAAAGCAGAGATTTTTAACTGGACAATACAGGTGGTCCTTGAACTTGGATAAGTAAAAAAAAAGACATATTTGTTTCCATTAATCTGTAAGTGAAATTCTGGCATTTCCTTCTATGATAATGTAACCAACATACCTCAGTAGTGTTAGCAGTATCTGTGACCTTGTTGAGTAAGAAACCAGAGATTTTATTAGTCAATTAGAGTTGCTATGTATATACAAATTTTCATTAATGTTTATTACTTATTTAAAATTATTTCATGAGCTTTGTAATGTTTTGAACAACCAATAAAAAAAGAGAAAAAAATAAAATTATTATAGTTCTTAGACTTGATATTAGATCTTATTGTTTGGCTATTAATTAAGTGCATTTTATTATAACATTTTGATAAGTGTATTTTAAGCTAATTAGTTTCCTTTGTAATCTTACAGACTTTATATTATATCATTAAAAATATCATTCTGGGAAATAATCCATAGATGTCACTGTTAACCTAAGGAGTCCACAATACAAAAAGAAGATTCAGAGTCCCTGCCAAGGGGCAGTGTAATCGACTGCCATCATCTCCACTGCTATTGGTGATGAAAATGACATTTCCCAGTTCAGGGTCATTCAGGCTGTGGAAGATGCTCATCTCCAAGCACATGACTGGAGGCCATGTAGCATATCCTGAGTTACTGCATTTGACAGGGATGCAAAGAATGTGAAATCAGTTTGACAAACTCTCAATTTTTCCCTAACATTTTGTCAGATTGCTTTTAAATGATAAAAAATAAGGTCCAACACAAAGAAAGGAGGCTCCCCCAAGTGGCCCATTCCTAACTTCTAGGACACAGACTCCTAGAGGAGATAGTCTAAGAGTGGTCCTAAAATAAAGCAATTAGGTATCCGTGTGGGGAAAGAGAACACATAGCCAGAATGGAAATCATCTGCTTCACTAAGTACATTGAGTAGGTTAGCTTTCATTTTTCTTCACAAAAAGACAATCTTCCTGGCCAAGACTGATGGTACATCACTATAATCCTAGCATATTGGGAGGCTGAGACAGAAGGATCAGAAGTTCAAAGCCAGCCTCAACAACTTAGGCCCTAAGCAGCTTAGTGAGACCCTGTCTCTAAATAAATACAAACTAGGACTGGGGACGTAACTCAGTGGTTAAGCACTGCTGGGTTCAATCCCTGGAATTAACAAAAGAATAAAGAGGAGGAGGAGGAGGAGGAGGAGGAGGAGAAGAAAAGAAAGCAAGCAAGCTAAAGGAAAGAGTTCCTAAGGAAAGAGTTCCTCAGTCTACATTTGGACACAAGCCCCTTTCTCCACCATGAGCAGGAACCTGAGTAGCTCTGGAGACATGTTGGTTGTTACATTCAGCTTGATCTACAGACAGTGCTAAGAGCCATAGCCAAGTAGTAATGATGCATGGCATTTTTGGTTGAAAGGTGATGCCAGCAAGCCATTGAGATGATATGATTATGTTAAGATCTGCATTCAAATGGATATTAGACCCCTGCTGTCCACCTTGGCCTGGAGAGTTCCCATTGGTTGGGGAAGTGCGGTAGGAGGGAATTCCACAGGAGGGATTTCCTGTTTGTGTGTGTGTCGGGGAAGAACGCCACGTGTGTGGGTCTGCATATTTCCCGGGAGCATACAGGGCATTGGTGGGAGTTTCAAAATAAAGTTTGTTCCTGTTTGAGTGGCTCATGATTTTGTGCCCAGACAGCAAGTCAGTTCCCTTTTTATATGCAAGTTCCTGCTTCCAGTAGGTCTTTAACTTTCTTACACCTTTCTCTATCCCCAGCAAGCCCAAAGCTAGTACATAGACAGTGTTCAATGTCATGTGATATTATGCTTATGGTACATGCTACATGCCAAGCACTTTATTGAACTTCCTACATATATTCCTTCACGAATTTTCACAACAATCTGTGAAATAAATAGTAGATATTATTTTTCCTATTTAACACATGAGAAATTGAGATCCCAAAAGATTATTTAGGTCACATAGTCACTAGTAGGGTACATGAGTTTGTCATATAGACTTGTCTGACCCCAAATACTATGGTGTTTCCAGAATATTACACTGATTTAAGGTTTGATGATGATCACCATCTCTACATATGATGTTGCTGAGGGAGCAATTGTAATTGATGTCAGCCACACAGAATCTTTTCAAAAAGAAGCATGGGAAGGGACTGGGGAGGAGGTACTGCGGACACCTCTAGTTACTCCCTTCCCCTCTTCTGCAGCAGCACACAGCTAGGAGAAAATGCTGGGCAAAGGTTTGCATCTCAGCCACATGAACCACATCTGACTTCAGGGTTGGGTTCTGAAGTCCAAATAAAAGAAAGTCACTTTTACAGTCACCTTGGGCAGCCTTAACAGAAAACTATAAATTGGGTAGCTTAAGCACAGACAGCTCTGGAAGTTGGGAAGTTCCAGACCAAGGGGCTGACTTATTTGATTTTGGTAAGAGCTCTCTTTCACCTTCTTTCTAAGTCCATTCATGGCCTTTAATTGGTGTATGGAGAGACAGTGATGGGTAGGAGCTTTGCCTTGTGCTTCCTATAAGGTCATTCATTAATTCTACCAGATTAGGTAGGATTACCTACCTACCTACCCTATAACTTCTTTTTTAAATATTTTTTCTAATTGTTGATGAACATTTATTTTATT